ATGCATTAAGACATATATTAGATGACTCTTTTAAATTGTCAGTTTTCAATATCTTTATTAATAAAAGAATTCCTTTCTACAACTCCTGTCCATATGATAAGATTAAAAGACTTTTTGGTATTTTCCATGTTTGCGTCTAGTGAAAAGTAGAGAAAATAAAAGGAAGATTAAAATGTTAAGAAAAAGATTCTAGTCAAACATTCAACTATGTTTTCATTGTTCTTCCAGACATTCTCCAAAAGGTAAGAAATTATGTGTTAATACAGTCAAATACCGAAAATCTGCCGACCTGAAATCCGCGTTGCCTCTCAGAATGTAAACATTCAGTTTATAGGTTCCGGAAACCGCAACATTGAGTACAAAATATCGAAGAAAAAATACTCACCAAATAAATGATGCCATAATTACCGAATAATAATGAATCAAAACGGAAATACCAAATTTTTTATGTAAGAAAAGTTTAAAAAAATAAGATAAAATGAATAAGATAAGTTTCTTTCTCTCTAATCTGCATCGAGGTAAAAATGTAGATGATTCACTCAACTCTTTGTTCAAGTTCACGATTCACATTGTTCTATTTTCAGAGCTTTGTTATTTCATTTCACGAGATTGTTTAGTGCTGCCTTTTTTTTATCTGGGTATTTTGTGAATAAATTAAGAATATTTTTTATTTTAGCCCTTTTTAACACAAGGACAGACAAGAAACACACTCATGATTTTACTACTTAAACTTTGAAAACCGTAAACACGTTGCATTGACAGTAACGCAAAAAGTGCAAATGCTGCAAAAGATGGAAGCAGGTGCTACTCCTCGATTTATAGCAGAATGGTATGGAATTGCGACACGATTGTGTACGATATATGAAAAAATAAAGAAAAGGTGTTGAAATTTTACAGCAATAGTGATTCTAACACCGGAATCCAAAACCGAAAATCTTTGCATGAGGCGAAATCAACAAACCTCGATGCCATGTACATATAACACAATGAATAATATAATCAATTTACATATGTAATAATAATTTAATGCACATAATAAATTATTGCAATAATGTATGTAATAATTTAATTAAATGTATCTAATACACCTTATTCATTTTGCACTTTTAGTCTGAATATTATGTTTATCTTTTCTGTCCTGAAATCCACAAAATCCTAAAATCCGCACAACCTCTGGTACCAAGCTTTGCCGATTTCTGGAATTCTACTGTACTATGGAGACATTTTTCATTTTGTCACATTTTTCTGGAATCCTCTAGAATAATGGGTCTATAAATCTTGCCTTCATATCTTTCTAAACTTTTCAAGCTAAAATGTCTAAAATCCTAAAAAAATTACCCCTATCAATTCTGTAACAGCATTATGCCAGAAATATTTTGGAAAAAAAAAAAAAAAAATCGGAGGAAAAAAGTGTAAAATTAATTTTATAGAGAAAAACAGAGCTTAATTTCTAACATTAGATGTGCTGGAGCCCCATGGAACACTGTCAGGAAAGAGGTACAAAAATAAATAAATAAAACTGGCTAATAAAATCACTAATAATTAAAAAATTAATTATTAATTATTAAAATAATTCAATAATTAATGCTTAAAAAATTAAATAGTTTAAATAAAAATGTAAAATATGAAGGGATAAATTAAAATTTAATTAAATTAAAATTTAATTTATCCCTGATTTTTAATATAACTTTATTACTAAAAATAAAATTTTCAATATCAAATTTCTACTGAAATTTTGTTCAGGTACAAAAAAAAAAAAAAGATGTCACAGCTTTCTTATTTAAGGCTTGAGTAGAATTATGATTTATCCCCAAAACTAAGAAGTACCGGAGCAGGGCTTGGGCACAATTTAAGTTCTGGAAAAATCTGACATATATTTTGACAATTCTGAATGTTCTGAGACAATTACATCGGAAAAACTCTTAACATAAAAATATTAAAAATACATTTTTAATTAATTACATAGCTAGTTTGTTTTTGCTAAGAACTGTTTCATAAATGGTGCTTTATATCATTATACCTTGCTTATTTACCACATATAATAAATAGCCGAAATAAAATTTTATAATATCACAGAAAAAAATAAAAATGCTTTATTTTAATCTTATCTCATAAATATAATTAAAACATATTACCATTATTTAAATGAAATTTATCAATGTTACAATGTTCTAAAAAAATGTCCTAGATCTCGGAATTAAAAATTTTCTATAGAAACATCTTAAAATCACCAAAATGTTGATAAGTTGAGAAATTTAGAAAGGTTTGATTATAGAATTCACATCCAGAAAGCGAAAAGTTGTTTAAGAGCTCTTCATTAGAAAAAATTAAATAATTTCGAAATGCTTATGTTTCACTCTTTGCTCAGCGAGTATCCCACCATTTACATTAGAAATAAGAACAAACTATAACTGATGGACCCATTCAAAAGATAACCATATTTGTCAGCAAATTGACAAAAATATTACTCAAAAATGTTAATTCACATTCAAATTGGCAGTCCTAAAAACAGACAGAAATTTCAGATGATTAAAATTAAGGACAGTTCCAACGATTTTGGCCAAAATTAAGGACTTTTAAGGACCAAAATTTGATTCCAAAAACTTAAGGACCTTTTAAGGACTCTTAAGGACCATATATGAGCCCTGGTTCATCTTGCACAGTGTGGTCTTGCACTGTTGTCAAGCAGCATGATGCCTTTTCAGTTCAAAATCACCCGATTAAAGATTGGTTCACTCATCCAATTGTTCGGTCTGCATTAACAATTTGTCCAGGTTTCAGTAATTCAAAATGAACAATTCCGCGAATACTCCACCAAACACACAGAAGCACCTTTTTGAGATGTAAACCTGTTCATTTGGAGAAAGCCACTGCCTTTTGCATTTGGGATTATCACATAGGCCCTATTTTTCATCTCCAGTAATCAAACAATCAAAAAAACGGTTCTATATGATGCCGTTGCATGTGATGGATTGGTTGGTTTTGTTCCCTTTGGAGAGATTATGGGGGACCCAAACACCTGCTCTGCTTACTTTTCCAATCTGCTTTAAATGTTCTTGGATGGTCGACCAAGGTCGGTTAAGGGTGTTTCACAGTTCTTCGATTGTTTGACATGGATTTGCTTCTACTTCTGCATGTCATTTGTCTAACATTGTTGGTCTTCCTTATCGATAGGAGTCAGGGAGATCAAAATTACTGGATTTGAACTTGGAAAACTATCTTTGGCATTTATGAACGTCTAATGCATGTGGATAAACACACAAATGATTTTGGTCGTGACTGTAGCGTTACTACCCTTGCAAAACTCAAAAAGCATATAACGGCGGATATGCTCTTCTGGTATTTGGCTGGCCATTTCCCACCAAATTACAAAAAAAAAGTTTAATATTGAATTATTTAGAAGTGAGCAAGTTCACAATAAACCTTAAAATGACTTTGGCATGCCTTAGAGACACATAATGAGCTGACAAATCCCAAATATCAACATGCGCAGAAATTACATTACTTTCCGGTCCCCCTAATATTACCATGGTTAGGATGTAATGGTGACAGTAAGGATCATGACACAAGAACTATGCTGTATATTTTTACATCAGGTTCCATCATGGCAGGAAGGTACTGTACAGAAATTTCTGGACTACATTATCTTTTTAGTGAAACAGTGGGTTCCAAATTTTTGTATGTGAATGGCAATGCTCACCTACACAGGACAGATAGCATGAGTAGGGTAATGGAAAGAAAAGATATTATCTGCATAACTTAGGCTATATATTCTCCAGACCTCAATCCCATCATGATGCCTGGGATACTCTCAGCAGATGTCTAATGCATGGTTCATCACACCTAATTCTGTACTATCTTCACAATGCCTTGTCAAGAGTGTAGGAAAAAAAACACTAGAACACTTCTGAACAACCTTTTCGAGAGAATGAATAATCCACGTAAAGTGTATGTAGGAGTTCTAAGAAACCCATACTATCTACTGATATTTTGAGAGGCTTGACTCCATTATGTTCTATGGTACCTCTCCTTTTGCATTTATGTTCTTTTTCACAAATCTCAATTATATACCATTTCATTTTAATAAAAACTACATTCGAGGTGTAGGTTTAATATCTTTCACTGATTGTGATATAAAATCTCACCGTTCCTCATCAGTTGTCAAGTGGTGTTTATTTTGGTCATTCATTAAAAAACAGTGTCCAAAAAAAGTGAGTCTTGTGGATTTTGAATAATGCGCTATATGGAAAACATTTATGAATTTAATTTATTTCTCTACTGCAGACCTAACCTCCACTGAGGGAAAAAAATCAACACAAAATGTTTTAAGAATGAATTCATAAAAATCTGATAGCTGGAGAGAATTTATTATTTTTATTTTTTATTATTTATAATTTTATTACTTTTTATATATATTCTATCTAATGCTATACATATGTTTTTATGTTCATAGAATTCCTTGAATGCTTTTCCATTCCCTAGTTGTTTCTTTCTGTCTAAATTGTATCCTAACTTTAAATTATTTTCAGCAATATATTGCTTTTCTGAACTTTACTGAAGCATCGAAAAGCAAAATTTCTCTGGTTGAGGTAAATTTTTTCTTATTTATGCAGACTACAGTCAGTTTGGCTCCAGGCACAAGCAAAGCTTAAACTGCCATTCCTAGGATATCCACGATTACTGTGTTAGTTCAATTAAATCCTGACTGCTTTCCTCTTTCAGCCTCAAAAACATAACTCCAGATACGCATTCCAAAAATTATATTTTAACTTTCTTCCATAAAGAGACAATATTTTAAAGAAAAGAAGTTTAGACATGTTATTAATCATTGCCACTTCTAATTATTTAGCAGGTCCTTAGAAACAAACTCAGAAAATTTATTCCTAAAATTTTGCAAACGCATTGTGTATACACAAACAATGTAAAATGAAACATATTGAAATCAACTGAATAACAACAGACACATTCTTTAATCAAGACCCCATTTATCACAAACTTACCAAACTTGCACAGAGCATTATTAGCAGCTTCTCGAACACAAGCATCATTGTCATTATCAGCTACATACGAAAGTTGTTCAGAGAAATGTTTTGCCTGAAATATATTAGAAATGATAAAGAAATCTCTGTACTAAATATTTCTCTAAATCATATAATTCTTTAAAAAACTTAAGTATAACATATTAACATGAGATATTAATACATGAATAGAAATCAATACAAGAAGATTAATAATGTTAATAGAAAGGCAAAACAAATAAAATGTTATAGTAAATACTGAAAAGGTAAATATAACTTACTTGCAACATCTCTAATGCCACACAAGATACAAGTCTAACAGTAGGAGTCTCTGAATAAAGCATTCTCAGATACTTCAAAATTACCTAATTAAATATTTAAAAAATAATCTTAAAAAATTTGGAAATGAAGAAGTTGAAAAAATACTCAAAACGACGAATATTAAAACATTAAAAAACATACACAGTAACAGAAATGGGTGCATTAAATAAAATTAACTGCAGTAATGCTTTTAACTTTATACGACTGAAAGAACAGTATAAAAATATAGATACTTGCCTTTTCTTTTAAATCCTCCTTGGAACATACAGATTTCAAGTAACAACCTTGAAAAGCAGCAATTATTAGAAAAAAGCATATAATATAATTAAGGACACAGAGATTTTTTTTATAACTAAACAATCATAATTTAGCATACAAAAAACATAAAATTCATCATTTACAAGGGAATGTATAGAAGATTCAGAAAAACATTCAGCTGTTCTGAAAAATGGAACTCAGTTCATATATTTTTATAGCATACAGATGGAAAAAACTAATTATTAAATCATTAACACTATTCTCAAACATTTATATATATGTGTGTGTGTAATAAAACTGTGTTATTATTGAAATAAGATGAATTGGTGAGTGTTGCAATGGAATGGCGTTGGAGAGGACTGTATCATAACTTGCACAACATGAAACTTTATGTTAATGATGACCCCATTTGGAGCTAAAATGTTGAAATCTGCAAAAAGAAGGGCCTCTGTGTGGGAAATTGGTTCAGGGGTTGCAGAATATCGTTCGTCACTATAATGTATTCTTGGGCAGAGGCATTGACATCCTTGAAATGGTGTAACAAACAGCTTAATATGTCTGAAAGTGCTGCAGTTAACTGGAAAAATTACATGCAATAAAATAAATAATAATGAGGAAAACAGTAAGTATTTTTCAAAATATTTTATGGAAATGACCCGCGAGTATTATTGTCATTATTCTATTGTGTTACTTATTCTTACATTTGTGCTTCACGAGTTTGGTGAAATCATAACTGAAATCTTGGCAAAAATCTAAAATCGACATATATGGTTGGGGGGCCCTCCTTTAAAAAAAAAAAAATTAGAGAAATATTAATATTATATTACAAAACTAAAAGAATAAAAAAGAACAAATTTTAAAAGAAATCCCAATTTTTTTAACATACGTCTTCAGTGCATTCACTCTTTATTTATTATAATGTATAAACAAATAATACTTGCCAGCTATATTTTGAAGTTCAGTATTAGTTTCAATAAGTAGACTACCGATCAGGTACAAGGAATGAGATGATGGAACAATTTTTGATAAAACTGATACTGCAGCAAATGCCTTTTGAACATCACGGCATTTTAAATCTTCAGCTGCCATAGCTATCAAAACAGATAAAAGCATATATAAAAACAGATGGAAATACTACACACATAAAAAATTATACTTTTATGAAAATCATACAAAAATGAGTGAGTCGTACATGACGGATGCCTCATGTTCATGCCATCAGTTTGTACAGACATATACACTGAAGAGCCAAAACATTATGACCATCACCACATTTTTTCATGAACTCGCCTGGATGATGCATAGGACATGTGATTAAGTGGAGATGGTATTTAACTGCTGCTGGAGAAGCTAAGGAAACATTCTTGCACTTACTTTTGAAAGTAATGGGAAAGGCTGCTGATCTAAGTGGATTTGAGAGAGAGCAAATTTTAACGGCTTGAAGACTCAGAAGGCATATGTCCGAAACTGGTGACTCAGCTCCCAATCTGCCATTGTTACTATTTATGCAAAGTGGATAAATGATGGTGAAATCAGCAGTAGACACCAAGGTGTTCGATGTCCATGTTTCATCAAAGAAAAATTATGTCGGAGCTGATCTCGCTTGGTAAAGCAAAAGTGGCTTCAAATTGTGCCTCAGCTGACAGCTCAATACAATGCAAGTTTTTCAGAACACACAGTTCAGCAGATACTGTTGGATACGAGATTGCACAGATGTCCGACTCATTTGCCTCTGTTGACCCCAGCGCCATTGTTAACTACACCAGTGGCCCTAGAACATCGAGACTGGACCATGGATAAGTGGAAGACAGTTGCCTAGTCAGATGAATCAAGATTTCTTATTCATCATGCTGATGGTTATGTCAGGGTATGGTGCCTTCCATGCAAACAGTTGCTTCCTCCTGTACAGCAGATCATACACAGGCTGGTTGTGATAGTATTATGCCTTGGGGGACATTCTCATGGGTAGCTTTGGACCCTTAGTTGTAGTAGAACAGACCATGAAAGCTGTGGTTCATCTGAACATAACTGCAAATCAGTTGCAACCTAGTCTGTCTTCCAAACTGAAAAGGGAATCTTCCAGCAGGACAATGTCCCATGTCACAAGCCTCAAATTGAGTTAAAGTGGTCTGAGGAGCATTAGGATGAATTCCAATTAATGTCCTTTCCACCTAACTCGCTGTACCTAACCCAATAGAGCACATTTGCGATGTTGTGGAGCAACAGCTCAGATCTCAAATGCCACCATGTTGGAATCTCAACTTTGCATGACTGCTGCTTAGATATTTTGTACAACCTGTCTCCAGTCATCTACCAAGAACTTGTAGCATCCATGTAAAGGCAAGTTGCAGCTCTTTTGCACGAGAAAGGTCAAAGAATGTGTTATTGGGTTGATGGTCATGATGATCATAATGTGTTGGCTTTTAAGTTATATATAACGGTAGCAATGAAATTTTTAGTTCAAAATTTTACCAAGAAATGGCACTGTACTGTCCTCATATCCTCTGAATGACACATTTAATCAACGAAAGCTAGCTTAAACGCTGTACAAATGGTTTATTACATACTGTTTCATATGATCATGTGTTCAATATGTTCCCCACTGCAAGAAGTCACATTCAGCATACGCACCATGCCATTAACCAATGTGTTGAGCATATGTGGGTCTATTGAAAAACTATGTTATAAATTATGAGCATGGTATATTCTTGCAATTTCAAATAGCCCTATAACCAAAAAATCCAGTGATTTCAAGACCAGCGATTGAACAGGCAAGGCAATAGAGCAGGAGGGCACCACAAAACTTTACACAAAACTGCTTCACAAATGCTACTATACAAGAGTACCATTTTGAGTAAACGTAACTGTCTATGAGATTTTGTTTCCTCAAACATGGTACCATCTCTTGACTTAAGTTTTTAGGAAGCACTGTTTTGTTATGTAGAGTGATTTCTGTCTATTTCATGCAATAACTGGTCAAACCTTCTGCTTTCTTAATCTTCAAAAAAGAATGAACCAATAATTAGGTTTACCATGAAACTGCACCAAGCTGTATTCATAATTCTCAAAGCATCATACAAGAATTTTTTAACAATATCACAGTCAGTGGGCCTTAGCATGTTTTCATCTCTTCCTGCATATAAAACTCAGAAAGGTCAAACAAAATTCCTACTAGGATATCAAGTGAACATAAATCAGTATAAAAAATTAGTTTTACAGTAGTATAGTTTCTTTTAAAAATCTCATTTTCATATCTATGGTTCCTATGTTGTACTTTTATCTTTAGCTGAAATTTTGTTCCCCCTTGAAGGTTGTAAAAAATACTAAATTAATGAAATGAGGTTTGGTGCAAACCACATCCTCCTACAGCAAACTGTTCATATTTAGGAGTGTTTAATACTATAAACTCAAAGACTGCTTGTTTTTTATAGTAACCTCAATTCCTGTGACATGATTTTGCAGGCTACGATCAGTTATGCTTCCTGTTAGAATCATTTAATACCAGATAAAACTTTATTTCAATTACAGATAAAACAGGCATTAGTCACCAGAAGATAACTCGGTCACTGGGTAATCAAGAAAGCAGGAAGGTATGGGCAACATGTGGTCTCACATTGTCCTGTTGAAAGATGGGGCAATGTAAGCCTCAATGCACAGCCCAGACATAGGCATTGAAACTTCAGTAGCCATCAAATTATCAGATGTACCGACTAGAGAAGAACTAGATCGTTTTAATACAAAATACAACACTGTTGCAAATAAAATGTGAATGATATTTCTCTAAGAAGATTCTATTGGCCATTAAAATTGTGACCATGATGGCAAGCAGCTAATAAAATATTTATTCTATAACAACATTAAATACTTAAAATTTCAGGAAATTAAAACTTTCGGTGGTGCAAAATATACAGAAATGAGTACTCCAAGCATATGCCTCGGGCAGCTACAGCAAATGCTATATGCCTTAGCATATAGCCAGACAGACACTGGATGGCAGTCTACACAACTTTAATTCTATTCCACAGTCCATTTATCATACTAGTTAGTAAGTGTCATTGTGCTAGTCTCTGTTCAACCACTCACAAGATATTTTTAACTGGCAAGAGATGTGGACAATGTGGATTCAAACACACTGGATAATCAGGAAAGCAGGAAAGTATGGGCAACAAGCAGTCTTGCACTGTCCTGTTGAAAGATGGGGCAATGAAGGCCTTAATGCACTGCCCAGACATAGGCATTAAAACTTCAGTTGCCATCAAAGTATCAGATGTACTGACTAGAGAAGAACTGGATTCATACTGAATACCACTTCATGCCACCAGTCCAAGGGTTGTGCTGATAACATAATAAGACTTCAAACTTCTAACATTTGTTTTCCTAAGCATCTCTACACACAGATAAAGTCATCATGATGTTCTATGAAAAAGTGAGATTCGTCTGAAAAGACATCTCTTGACGTCTAGAAAAGATATCCATCTATGTGTCCATGTGCATCATTGAATGTATCGCTGTAGGCACTGAATCCTGTGCTGTAGGAAAGCAGTGTTGCATTGCTGATATTATATGGTGTTGCAGACAATACTGCACTGCAGACGTGCATATTCAGTGTTGTGCAACACACCCAATTTCTTGACCTAAGGTCCCTCCTGTGTACATGGACTTTAGAAATGAGGTGGATAAAATGTCTGTACTCTCAAGTATTGCTGAGCGGGAGCTGTATGTTTCTACCGGACCCATCAATTGCCGATTCTTATAACAGTTATCAGATTTCAATTAACAAGAACAGCAATTCTGGAATACAACAATTATAGCCCCAGTCGACTATGATTTCTTTGTGATTGAATTCTGAGATGCACTGGTACTAGTTCCTTTTTACACAATGCATCACATGGTCTCCAACGTAAAAAATGAGTAAATGTAATTTCTGAATTAAATATCATCGTTTCAATCTGTCTTTTTATACACCTTCAAGGTGTCTTCACTCTTGCCTGGAAAATGCACGTCATGAAAGGCTAATGATTTGGATATTCCAGCACGTTCTACCTTTTATACAAATTTTACATTTCTTGTACACTTTCTTCGCAATGCAGCAGTTAAACCGCCAGCAGTGCTTTCAGTAAAATTTAAGAATAAAAGGCAGTCAAGTCAAATATACTTCCTTTCAGTCACAATCTCAATACTAAATTTTTTTTTCTAATGAATAAAAATTTTACATCTATCGATTTTATACTCCACAATCGAAGCGTTTCAAAAAATATTTACCCAAAATATAATAATTATAAAGCATACATTAAGATCATTTGAAAGATATGAAATTATTAAAACATATTTACTTCATTGTGAGCATATTTTTTCCATTGATTTTTAAATCTGAAACCCACTATTTCTCATATGTTATTTTACTACTGTTCCTAAATATCTTCACTTTTCCCTTTACAAATGAAGCTCTTTTTAGAAGGGGCTTACAACAAAGTAAAAGACTGCAAGTGAGCTTCAAAGTCTTAACTGAAAGGAAGAGAAACACACTAATGTAGAATTTAAACTTGAGCACAGACGCATCCACAAACTGTCTCAGATTTCAAATGAAATTCTATCTATTTGAAGATATTCAGATATAACTGCCCCTTCTTTAAAATAACCAACGATATTCATAATGAAATAGAGAAAAAAGCACATCAGAAATGACTGTGGTGCCAACTGTCTTGGAAAAGAGAAATGAAACATGAAAACTCTAGGATGACAGAATTTTGAATAGGTCAGGGGGGGGAAAAACATGATGTCATTAACCAGAGAAGGTAAATTTTTATGAATGTGAAAAGCTTCAAAGGTTATATAATGAATGAAATACAGAAGCTTTGTGGCTATTTCCACAGAATAAAAGTCAGAATTGAGGTTAAGTAGCCAACTTTTGATTAATTAATGAAGATTCGGTTACTTCTTTTCAAACAGAAGATTCATGTTCTTCCCCGGAAAAAAATTCCCATATCCTATTTTAACTCTCGGGGATTTTACATTATACATTGTCAGCATAGTTTGAGAGGTACTAGACATACTAAATAAGCAATAAAATTTCACACCAAAGAACATGAAACATATATTTGAAAAGTAAAAAATCTTGGATAGCTAATAACAAATGGTCACAATTTGGCCTTTTTCAAAACATAATTTTGAAAATTTTAATTACAGCCTATGTTTGATCACCCTCATAATTGACAGTCTTATTCCAGATTTACACTATTCTAAGGCTCATTTCTTGTCTAATTCCAAAACGCATCAAAGTACTTATTGTACACTTTAAAAAGGATACAACAGATTGGGGGGGGCGGAGAAAGGTAGTTGAACTGAGCAATTAGCAAATATTCAAATAATCACTTCTAACTTAAATCAGTATATGGTTTATATTAGTTTGTGGCAACAAATTACAAGTCAGATTTGCAACGTTGTAGTGTTTGAATGTCAATTTCAAATTCAACAAGGACTAACTTTAAATGGTGAAAATTAAGAACTTTTTAATTTTCTGCGAAGGATAGACATATATGCTACTTTAACACAAATATGCAAAATTGATAACTTAAAATGGTACAACTCTGATATACGCCCTAATTTCACCAAATGTGGCGATATGTGTTCTGCACTGGTTTTTGGTGCGATTGCGTGTTCTATGGCAACCCTGTTAACGTTGAACAATCTTTCGCTGGAGCTCATTGATTCGCGTCTGTGTTGAGAAGATGGGAGGGAAAGATAAAATGGTAGAAGTTGTTGAATTGAAGTTCGGCAAAAGGAATTATCATTGTGGCCATCCTGTTGAGGGTTAGTGGGTATTTGGAGGTGTGGAAAAAGGGTCTGGAAGATTATTTTTAATGGCTGTGCATGATAGAAGTAGGGATTTGTGATTTTATTTATTTGTGAACCATAGTATGAATTTTCTGGAGTGTGTCTGGCTGTCATGTAAATACGATAGTGATTACGTGGCGGCATGTTAAAGGCGGTATGAAATAGGTATTTCTGCTGCTCGAAAAAGCATTAATTCATGGTAAGTGCATTTTATTTTATTCTTGTTCTTATTTTGTACAATGTTATGTTCATTGGTTATTTAGTATGAATTTCTGTTGTTATTGTTGTTTTTGAAACAGAACACTGTGTACATGGTATTATTTGAAATTTATTGTTATTATGTTATTTTATTAAAGCAAGGTGTGCGTACATCGTAGATTCGTTCCTTGCCTAAATTGTGCAATTCGTAGATTTTTTTTTAAGTTTAAACAGGATGCTGTGTACATGGTATTCTTTGAAATTTATTGTTGTTACGTTAATTTATTAAAGCAAGGTGTGCGGAGTTTGTAGATTTTTTCATTGCCTAAATTGTGCAATTCGTAGATTTTTTTAAAGTTTAAACAGGATGCTGTGTACATGGTATTCTTTGAAATTTATTGTTGTTATGTTAATTTATTAAAGCGAGGTGTGCGTAGTTCGTACATTCGTTCGTTGCCTACATTGTGCCATTTGTAGATGTTCTTTTAGGTTAAAACATGTCGCTGTGTACATGGATTCTTGTCAAATATTTTTGGTTAGAAACTTTACGTTTTTGCTATCTAAATTTTTTGTTTTTGTTTTGGATTTTTAGCTTAAATCGTGCATTCAAAACGTAGTTTTTGCATGTGCAAAAACCGCATTTTTGGAGACATTTTAGGCTTAAAGTTCGACATATAGACAAAAAATTTAGATAGTAATATGGCAGCGGGAAGTTTCTCGCCGGGCGCATATCAGAGTAGTTCCCTTAAAATATTCCACACATTTTTTTTTTCTTTCACTTACAGTAAATTTTAAGCTTTCCACTGAAATTCTAGTGACATAAGATGTCAACATTTTGCATTAAATAACATGAAAATGCTGAACCTAAATCTGATGTTATTTGGTTATTATTTATAATTCCACAGACAGAAAGGAACAGACATGAATGTTAAAATTTACAATTAAATGAAATTAAATTGTTAAGATTCTACAACTTTGGTCTAACAAAAATGCTGAATAAAATTAATTTTGCTTATAAATTCATGATTTTAAATCTAGCTTATTAAAACAATATAATGCTTAATTATTGTGAACAATTAGATAATGAAATATGATGTTCCTCATTATTAATTTTAGCCGTTTGAGAGTAATTTTCCTATAGAGTTTTAAATGATAATTGAGAGTAAAATAAAACAAACATCATTTAAAGAGAAAAAAGGAGTTCATGGATAAATTAATAATATTTCATATAATAAAGAGATCAAAAATAAACTTTTCTTATTGATGAAAAGGACTGAATACATTTTTAAACACTACTTTTATATTTATATACATATTTTAATATTACATTATCATTTACTTTTTTAAATTTCCACATATATTCCACAAGAGTTACTAAGAAAGTATATAACTAACAACCGTGAATAAGGGAAAAATACTTTAAATTTGTCAATTTTTATAATTTCTTTGAATTTTCCCTTTATTTTATTATCACCAAGCATATTAAACACATTATAGAAGATCATTATTTGCAGCAACAGAAATGTGGAATGTATAATATGGAACTGATAAAATAAAACTCACCATCTGCTACAAACTCTAAAAGAACTGAATCTGGGCTTTGAGAGCTAGAAAAGAATGCTTTGAAGTGCAAAACAGAAATGCGAGATGTTGAATCAAAGTGACCAGAATCCAAAATTTCACAAACTAAATGATGAGATACTGAAACAAAAAAAGTCTAAATTAGTAACAGAACAACGAAAACCTTATACGTAAAATTAAAAAAAGCCAAGAAATCCCAATGATGCATTACCTACAGAAGCCATATAACCATCTAGAACGGCCTTTTTTGTAATGACTTTTTCCATTTCAGCACAGAAATTTTCTGATACACAATATAACATTTTTCCAGCCACAGTCCTCCAGAGTTTTTGAACATCTACATCACTTTCTTCAAAGAAGTCATCTGATAATCAGAAAATGTACAACAGAATATAGATTAGTTTTCTCATTACACAAAACACCACATTCTTAACAAAAATTATGTGTGATGCAATTTTAAATTTTAAACAGTTAAGCTCAAAAGAAGCTTTTAAAAAAAGTAGATCTGAAATTTTTTTTAACATGTTTGTTACAAATTCAATTTGCATTTTCTCTTTCATTTTCCTGACCAAACAGGAAGGCATTCCTGACCAAACACAATTAACTAGTAATCAAATTAGGTACAACTGACTGAACAATTTTACACATTAAAAAGTAAAATAAAATAACTGAAAGAGTTTTTAAAAATTATTTCACTTAAAACTAAAGATCAAAAAGTATAAATAGCAAATATGCATCAAAATACTGAGTTAAGCGAGCAGCTGAGGTTTTTAATAAAGAAAGTTTTAATTCTGGAGAAAATTATATGTTTTGCAAAAGCAATTTATAATAGTACATAACACAAAATAAATATTGTTCCTACAGTTCAACCATCACAACTGCGACCATAAGTGCAATCATGCACCCTTCAGACCAATTTTCTCTTGAAATAGGGAGGATGGATATGACTTATGTAGTAGGGATTCTTTCTATTGTTAATTTTTCCCCCGTTTTTTTCCCACAGCATTCAAAGAGCACAAAGTTAAGGCAATTTTTTTTTAAGTAATATAAGCAGAAATACGATCATCACTTCCAATTATCTTTCATTACACTGCATTTTATGGTAAAAACAAAAATGTTTTTAAAACTTAATTTTGCTATATATACATAAATTCATGATAGACTGTAATATATAATTCTTATCGTATAAAAATTTTTAATCACTCAATTGTTATATTTTGTATGATTTTCATTATATAATTAGTACAATGAATTCTAATATATAATTTTATAATAGTTAATAATAATGATTATAATAATTAATAGTTATACATATTTTTTATCTTTGAGCTAAAATGTACATGCTGAAAAGAACTCCTTAATAAATAGTTACAATAATTATACAATAATACATGATTGTTATTGTTTTTAATTACAATAATTATAAATAATATGATTTAATATAGGTTTTTAATTAATTATAATAATTATACTGTAATAAATAATCCTGACACCCTTTTTTTATTTTCGTGATGCATTGTTATTCATATCGGCTGGGGGACCACAAAATTTATTTTAAAATGAAAATTATTCTTGCAATACTGATGCACATGACAAATGCCAGGGTTCGTACACATTTCTGCACACGGGAAATTAAGTACTTTTAAGGACTTTTAAGAACCATTAATGAAAAAAATTAAGGAAATATGAACAAATGGGAACTGAATAAATTCAATGAAAATATTATCAATGCCTGAATTTCATTTTCATAATACCATCCTAAAAATAAAATAGATCCCTAAGTAGTATGCATTATTACTAAACATGAATTAATTAACATAATTATTAATAAGTTTGAGAATAAAATAAATTTTATGCAATTTATCAAGTAGCATTAAATATTTTACACTTTATAATAGTTGGACATATTTGAAAGAAAAAAAGTGACATTTACGTTTTACTAACAGTCAGTTAGCTTTATGTTGAATTTTTTTATGTCTCATTTTGTCACATACTTGGTCAGTCTTATAGTAAATAGCACGTAGATTTTATGTCAAACGGCATAGGTTAAAACGAGAAGTAAGATCTTAATCAGCATGATTCATAAACAAAACACTGAATGTTGTCATCACTGCTGCTTCCCTAGAGAGAGACCTGCTGATTAAAACAAGCTTGAAAGGCCTGATCTAGGCACGGTTGGCTTGAAAGTTAGTCAGGCTCTGTTTGATGCAGTTAATGTCGTAAGTTCATGTAGAGTTCCAGGGGTTGTGACCCAGTTAATATACTACTTTAAGGTTCCAATACGCCATTACACCAGAGGTGATAAGTTATTTTGTATTATTTTAAATCTTACTAGATGCAAAGAGTAAGTTTTACTTGAATTTTTACATTTTCATATTTTATCTTGTGAGTATTAATGAAAGGCAATAACTCGCTTTAATATGTCGAGATAATTTTTAAGGGTAAGCAGTTAGTTATAACTAGTTAAATTAGGTAGTTTGATAACCTTAGTCATTATGGATTTACATGGCCATAATTAAATTTTATTTTTTAACAATACTTGTTAAATAAGCTCTGTTAAAACCAAAAGTATTAACAATACTTGTTGCCCTATTAACAATACTTGTTAAAAAAGCCCTATTTTTTTTTTTTTTTTTTTTAATTAAAAGAAACACAAGTTCCCCATGTTCCACATAGTATCACATGGGGCTTACAGAAGTAAGTAAGAAACACAATACAAACTAAACAGAAGAGAAAATTGAAATAAAATTAAGGATGATTACACAGTTTTACAATGAATTGACAAAAGTCTTAAAAGCACTTCTCTTGGAAATAAATTGCTAAACTCTGGAGGCCAGTTAATATTAAAATTTTTCAGTCCCAGTTTCAAGACTTTTCTTTCGCCCTCATATTTAGGACATAGAAGAAGCACATGTTCTACATTCTCCTCGCCGCCGAGGACACAGTCACAGACAGACTCAGGACTCAACTCTGTTCAAATAACTTTTAAAATTCCCATGTCCAGTAAGAAACTGGGTTAATTTATAATTTGTGAAGAAATGATGACACGACAATCTCATTTTAATAGAAGGGAAAAATCTTCTAGTTAAACTCCCTTTATTTGAATTAATGAATTCGTGATTCCACGACTCCACAATGCTTTCATACATGACCTTCTTATAGAAGGAATTATGGATATTAAAAAAGCCCTATTAAAACCAAAATCTAATAAAATTTCACAACTACCGGTGCTCTGCAAAGGGTTAAATTTAACCTGTAAAATGTATATCCAGCCGGTCACTGGTGAAGTTAAAACTACCCCTGTGTTGGCCTCACAATTTTTGACCAAAACTGAGCCTATGTTTAATGCTATACAATGAAAAATGCTATTCTATATAATAAGCTTGTTATGCTTCCAAACAATGCCTTTTGGCATGGCTATGATTTTAATTCAAAACACAATTCGAAGACTCAGAGAGGTTTTTAAGTTGCTTATTTCATCCTGCCTGTTTCATTACACGAATCTCGACGCAAGGTTGGATCTAATTCAGAAAATTAGAACGTCGTATATCCTTCTCGAAACCTCAGAGCTGATCGCTTTGGAGACCATCCATGATAGTTACCCTTCCGATGACTAGTTACACTATATAACTACCGGAGTTGGCATCTTTATTGAACTTTTTTGTTTTCGCATTCTAGGTGGAAATTTCATGACTTACTTTGATGGAGAGATGGAGTCTATTCTTATATCAATTGAACAATTTTCTATATTATAAAAGGAGTGCATTAAAAATAATTGTCAAAAACAGTAAGCACAAAAATTAATCATTTCCACATTTTTAAGCCTAACCATGCATATCTGAAATGGCCTGCACCACAATTAGTGTAGATAAATGGGGTTCTGAAGCATGTCCCTAATAAACACTTTTTCCATCAACTTCAGTTCTTACCACATAGGTGTAAGAAAAACAGGCTTCCAATATTCTGTTAAAAAAGTGGGAGCAATCAACTCAAACTTCAAAAATCTTGAAGTTTATTTTATGCAAAATATATTTTAGAAAAATTGTCAAGAATGATGTGGGGAAAAAAATGAGCCATTTACATATTTTTATGGAAATAAACTGAAACAGATGAAATAGACACAATCTGAAATGACTTCACAAATAATGTAGACAAATGGGGTTTTGATGCATGCGCCCAATAAACTTTTTTTTTATTAATTTGCTTAACTCAATTCTTGTCACAGAGATGTAAAATATCTTCAAAAAAACTTTTAAAAAATCTTCCTTTCTCTTTTTATACAGTTCTTTTATGGAGATGTACAAGAACACATTAACATAGAAGAAGAATATATACAACAGAATAGAAAAATATATTTAATATACTTACCTAAAGTGACAGAAGTAGCCATTTTCAAAACTTTTAAAAGATCTACCAGACATGAGTTTTGCTTTTTTAATTTCTTCAAATTATAATTTTCAATAAGCTTCATATGTTGGCTAGCATTAAGAGACTAAAAGAACAAAAAATATTGCATTCTATTAAGTGATAATACACCTGAATATAACAAATAAGAATCTTCTATTTCTTTTGATATTGCTATTTAAGCTCAGCAAACACTATTTAATAAATTTTATGTCATGCAACTCAGCACAAAATTATTAATATATTGCTAATTTGTTCATTATCCATAAAACTGTCCTTAGAACGCTGCATTACATTTTTAATGATTTCAATTTTCCTCACGAAAGCAAAACAAAAGGGAAAAAAATAATGGTGTATAAATCCTTTGAAACAGTGCTCAAAACCTTTACAGAAATTTGCATTAATGTCACTAACATACAAAGTACCTTTTATTAACATATGTTTAAAATTTTTATGCACATTAAAAACCCCATTTATGAAATCCTATCATCTTTTGTATGTTTATGACCCAGTACATAATGTAAACTCAATCATGAATTAATATGCAGTTAGTTTTTAAAACCGAAATGAAATACTTTGCTAATGTTATTTAAATCCACTACCTTTAAAATTCTGAATTACTACAGTATATATATTACACATTTGTAATTTACATAAATATTTTCATTACTTTATTTTCTATTTTATCCACTTTTGAAGTGTTCTATACTTTTTATATTATTCAATTATTCATTTAGTATTTTTAGACGGGGGCTTATTTATTGCGTACTATACAAGATCTTTAATTTGTGGCTACTTATTGCATTTATGTGCTTAAAGTTATGCATTATTTTTAGAGCCTTGAATTCTGAATTCATTGATACTGCAATTGTAAAGATAAGTTAAGGCAGGCTTGGCCAAACATTTCGGCTGAAGGGCCACTGTAGTTATTTAAAAAAAAGAAGGCCACACATAAAAGAGTATTTTTAAAAGTGAATTTGAAAATGAAAATAAATTTCTAATGACCAAACAATTAAATGAGATGAATGGTGATGTTTTACTTACATCAATGTCTCTTTTAGTTCCAGGTGTTAATTTTGTAGTACATTCTTAAAATTATCATTTCAAGCTTCCTTACTGTCATCTTATATAATTTTGCAGCATTTGTGAAGAATATGTATTATTTTAAAACACCCTGAAGAACTACATGACAATACAGAAGTAAAACCTGTTTAAAGCAGAGTACTTGTTAATAAGAATGGCATACCACCTGTGAAATTCTACCCTGATTTCAATAAAACTAAAAAGTGTAAAACACATCACATGCTGATAATTCAAAATGTGCTACAACTCTAATTTATTTTAATTAAAGAGGCACCAAAATATAACTATTTTGGGGGCTGCATAAAAATGTGCAATGGACCACATGCAGCTTGTGGGCTAATGCCTAATCTAAGGACACTAGAAGATATAAGTTGAAGGTCCGTCTATCATGCCTTGGTCGCATTTGAAATTTCTTGTCAACGTAGTGACACTTTAGAATTTAAAAAAAAAATGCAGCTTTGAGACTCAATAAACTTTGAGAGTGCAGTTTTTTAGAAGTCTCTCCAAATAATGTCTTTCCTTTGTATTTCTAGTATAAAGAGAGGGTATGGAGTATGGTCAACATATTCAGCGTCTGCTCAATATAATATGCTCTAGAATGTAACAGCTCAGTGAACTTAGTTTTTGATGTGTGAATAATTCTGTAATTTGCTACATTTTTTCTTCCATTAAAAAGAATTTTAGCTTGTCTATCTTTCAGCTTGTTTCTCCGAGGCATTTTTATCTATTTATCTCCTATTAAAAACTCTTATTGTCTCAAGCTGAAATAAAGGTTCAAGATTTCCTCTTTGTTAAATATGTTATTTAAGATATTTAGCAGTCATCACATTTTAGAATTTTGTAATTTAAAATTTACAAGAGATTTATTTAACAATTGTAAAAAAAGAATATTCATTAAGTTATTATGATTTAAATCAGCTTTAGAGTTCTACATTATAATTCAGAATTATGCATTTATAAATAAGATTTTGTAGTTCAAAATGAACACCATTTTAAAAAAATAAGTATTTTCTCCTTCAAAATGGAAAGTTTAAAAGCTATAGAGTTGATGAAATTTGACTGAAATAAATGATGAAATTTATATGTTTCAAATTTATGTAGTAGGCTTACATGATAAAGAAGTAAAGGAAAGAACTAATACTTTTCTCCAAATAACATGATTTCCGGAAGAAAGTCCGTATCAGCGTAAACGCTGCACTCGAAAAATGGTGGGAAAAAATTAAAATTACACAAAAATGCCACATCAGCGTAAATGCCGCAGTAGATTAAATTGCGCGTGACATCATCGCGGGGCGTATAGATGCAAAATCTCAACCTATGTCCTGATATATGACATATCAGTTAAGAAAAATGCATGAAATGAAACTATAACTCAAAAATAAATTAAAGGTAAGAAATGTGAAAATATACTTATGTTCACGAATATACTTATATTTACCCACTAAAGAAGTCCATATTTGTAATACTCAGATTATATTATAAAAAATGTTGCAACAACGAAATATTAAATTTGGATTACAAAAGGAAATTTCAAATTTTACTTACACAAGGAATTACAGCAAACTATACATCATATGAAGCCATCAAAATCCGATTCTTCACTCTCTGAATTAAAAATATTTTGTAAATCCTGATCTAAGTATCTAAGTCCAAGTCTTCCAGATTGTCACATTCATCCTCATGGTTTACAGTCTCTTTATCTAAAGATACAATTTCAGCTTGTTTGAATCCTGCTATTATTGAAGATGTTTTTACCGATTTCCACCTACTTCCTACCCACTTTGCAACTTCATAAGAAAATTCTTCTTCATTAAACAAAATAACGTTCACAAAAAGCAACTGAGTGGTCTTTTGTGTGGGAACAACTGAGTGGTCTTTTGTATGGGAACAACTGAGTGGTCTATGTACAATGACAAGGCCATCCAAACTATGTACAATGACAAAATTATTCAAACTTTGTTCAATGACAAAGTTATTCAAACTATGCACAATGACCATCAAAGGAAATATTTTATTTTTAGTGCACCTAAACACCGTATGGGTAGAAACGCCGCGGCGTTTCTTCCGGAAATTACAGTAATAGGAATTCATGATCTTGAAATATATTACATTTGATGAACATGGTAAAGAAATTAGATGATACTTCACTGCAGAATACTTAAAAATACTAAATTTGAAAGACATTGATTCTTTACCAGAAATCAAACTGCATCAGAAAACATAGATGATTATGTAACTGACCTACAAAACAAAGCTAAGTTACATAAGATTGCTCAATTAATAGACAGTTTAATAAAAGTTAAAATTGTTCATTGTATTAGAGAAAATGTAGTGAGGATAAGATAACTGCATGCAATAAATTTAACATAAGAAAAAGCTCGAATGAAAATAATAAAAGATGAACATGTTGTTGTAAACATAATACAAAAGAAACTAAGTAAACATTTTAAAAATATAAGTAAAGAGGTCAATATTGAGAAACAAAGGACACACATTTGTTCTAAATGCAGAACATTATGTGAACATCAAAAATGTCCTGCAAATTGAAAAATCTATAAATGTCATAAGAACACACATTTGCTCTAAACGCAGAACATACGTGAATATCACAAGTGTCCGGCGAATGGAAAAATCTCTCATAAATGTCTTAAGTAAATCATTCTGCAAACTGGTTATAATCTATAAATTAAAATCAAGCTATTCAAGTCAGTGTTTCCTGTTTTCTGGCGAGCAAAAAAACAACACGGGAAACAGGTATTTTATTTCGCGATTAGTTTTATAATTGTGTAGTGCTGAAATGCCAGATTACTCAAAAAGAAAACATATCAGTTTCAAGGATTTGTTACAGATTGATAACGTGCCAGGACTCACAGAAGATTTAAATCATCTGGTTGTTAAATTAATACTTTTATTACCCAACATGACAATCCTACAATCATTAGACCAGGGAATAATTAAACCATTATTAATATATGGAATACATTTTAGAAGATACTGATTGTAATCCAAATTATACTACAGTAACGGACTTGTGAAAAGATCTTTTCAATTTTAAATAGCATTGAAATTATTTCGTTATCTCTGAAGGAACTAAAATCTTTGATTCTGAATGCCTGTTGAGGAAAATTATGACCTGAAGTTGTTATTAGAGGGGGAAATACTGCCCAGACTTTAGATGGAGAGGGATTCATCAACATGAAGAGGAAGATGTTACTGAATTAATACTAGTTATCAACACTTATATGAACAAGAACTTATGCATCTGTCAGAGTCATTTGAATCAAGCAGAAGTAAACTCATTATGAATTTTCTGTGAGCCAGGGCAACATTTTAATTCAGAAATCTTAAATGAAGGATTACAATAGATAAAAAATCGAGAAGCATATTTTATTAATAATGATCCACCAACAAAGTTCTCTCAGGAATTTTAGAAAAAACTGAAAGATCTTGTAGCTCCATATTTTGAAGTAAAACATGATTTTGAAAGCAACTATAATAAATTGTTGAAAGCACAAAAAGATACCCTTTTAAACGATGAAAATAGTAGTGAAGAAACAAATTAATCTTCAAGCTATTTAATAACAGAACCAGCATTTAAAAGAAGACGTGATTGGAACCTAATTATGGATAGCTCCAATAGTAAATATATGTTAAAAAAGTGTAACTGCTTCTTTTATTTAACACTAAATGAATTTAAAAAATTTTGTTTCAATGTTTGTTTTAAAAAAAATGAAAAATATTTTAACTTTTACATATTAAATACTCATTTACATCTGTTGTTAAGTAGTATATGTATAAATGAATGTTTATGCACAAGTTAAACTGCATGTGAGTTGCTCATTTGCAAAAACAATTAAGTCCATAAAAGAAAAGGTAGAAAATATGTACTCATAATTTTTTATACATTTCCTGTGAAAAAAGAAACATTTATTGTTCAATGGCCATAAAAATTGTCATGTAGTATTTTAAGCCTGATTATTAAAGAAAGTTATTTTAAATATAACAAGTTAATCACTTTGGGCTGTGAACGGCTCATGTATTTGTACAATATAAGTGACTTGTACAACATGGATTCATATAATACAGAACGTATGTACCATGTTATAAGGATTCTACTGTATGGGCTTCTAATCAAACAGAGCATGACCTAAAAGAGTACTGCAAAGAGGACAAGAAGAAAACCTGAAGTTCAGTAAAGCTAAATGATAAATAAACAGTGAAATTCAATAAAGGTAAATCGTACAAATTAAATAGAACATGAGTTATATGAAGACAATTGAAAACCTGATCTCTTTAAAGGTGAAGCAATTAATACAATGCCACAACCAATTCTCGTACGATAGATTCTGATAAGTGGAGTTTTTTGTAATGTGAGAATTTGATTAGCTCTTGAGATCATTACACACTCTCCTCCCAAGCATTTTTGATGCAATGAGGAGATATGATTAATCATTATGAACTTGGGCGGGCAATGATGAAAGAACTAGAAATGGGACAGTGAATAAGAGGCCCATATATCTGGACTGAACTCTTAAAAAAGAAACATTTCAAAAACATTCTGCAATTTAAAAATGGCAACAGATTTAATAAATGTAGAAAAACAATATACTTCAACTAAAGTCAGCTTAGCAGTTCAACAGTATCCTTTAGAAATCTTCAAATTTTAAATAAAAATGTTTTGATATTTAAAACTAATACTTTATTTTGTAGCTGTTAATATTTTATATAAGATATACAGTACCATAGATATTTACAAAAAATATCAGAATTTTTTATGTCAAAAATATCTTCAATGAAGTGCTTCTAAAATTTCTGAAGTGCTATATAACATTACAATACCACGTTATGCCATATAGCCTCTCTGCAACTTTGAAGAGCCTTACACATCACTTTCCTGCAAATCACAAACTATTAAAACATACTTTTTCTGAGATTAAATCAATAAATTAAGCTAACAGTAGTAACAAATTAAGCTAATTTTTCTACATTTCCATAGTAATGCCAGTGTATATGTGGTGTAAAATTCTACATTTTTGTAGCAATATCCGTATTGTACAAGGAGCTAATAGCATTACTGTCTAACCAACAATGCACTGAAATAATAATACTGAAAAGTGATGATCTACATTACATTTGACATGAAACTAGAACTTAAATTTAAATGCACATTATACAGAACTAGAAATTTTTAGTCTAAAGCTCAAATAATAAATTATAGTTTCATGTTTTGATAAGACTAAAATTACAAAATTTTGAATTTTATTTGTTCCAGAATTAGAAATGCAACTCCACGCTTACTGTATTAAAAAAGAAGGTACCACTTATTCTTATTAAGGCAGTACAGTGATTTTTCATGGCTTCATGCAATGAATGAATGTATAGGCATGTTCTGAAACTATTATTTACTTAAATTTTTATTTACATTAGGAAATGTAAAAATATCCCCAATTTTAATATCTTTCTTTAGTTTAACTTGAACAAATGACAGGCAAGGCTAAGTTCAGCGTTTTTCTACAAATCAGGCGGCAGAATGCACATTTCACTAAGCTGTCAATTAGAGAATATTTGCCACAAGTTCACAATTTGATTAAAAGTAATTATTTTTCATCTTTTCACACATAATTACAAAAAATACACTTCTTGAAGCGTGACTGCACCATAAAATGTAAAATCGTAAAACATAATTTGCATTTTATTCTTTTTATGAAAAGAATTATGCATTCATATATTAAGCAATAGTGCTGGCTGTCCGAAACTAATTCATTAACATCAATCATTAATATTCTGGAAGTATACCAATTGTATTAAGGCCCATTTACACGTAGCGATTTCCTTGGCCGACTTATCTGGCCAACAATATCTGAGATAGCTCGCCTGTCCACACGGAATGATTTTCTCGCTAGTACAGGAATTCACTCAGCCAATCACCGTAAAAGGTTGTGTTCCTGTCCTCTACAGCATCACTCTGTCTATAATTTGTAAACAAAACTTACGGTGTTGTCAAATAGTCAAAATAATGGATAACTATTTTACTTTAAATTGCTACTATAGCTGCAATTTTAAACTTAGCTACTGCTGCAGAAGGGAGGGGAAGAAAATGCGTTTGGACCAAAAATTGGGTCAAACGACAAACAATTCATGATGCGCGTAATATCCTGCTCCTGGAGTTGTGTGTTGAAAACATGGTGGAATTTGGAAATTATTTAAGGATGGTGCTGTGTGATTTCGATTTTTTGCTTAGTTTCCAGCAATTTTTTTTTTAAATTATGCTTTTCCTTTGTGTGCTGAGTGTGCAGATCCAATAAAATCACTTCATATAGACAGACCTTTAATTAGCAGGGTGTCAAAAAAAAGACCTAGATTTTTATACTCAAAGTTATATAAGATAAAACATCACACCAAGTACATCAAACTATTTAGTTTGAAGTTAAGATCTTTGGCAAAAATGAGACAAATACAATAGATAATGTTGAAACACCAAACAGCACAGACGAAACCAACACTATAGAGCATATCTTTCAAGTTTAAAAAATCATCATGTTCCTGGTCTCCCCCCATCAAATATATTTACTAGACATGATGCATTACTCCAGCTATGCACTAAACAATATTTAACTTCTCTATGGTTTCAGTCCTGTATTATAGAAAATGATACCATAACTCAACATATTAACAAGTGAAATAAGTAAAGGATTCCATCAATATACAATCTAACATCTCTGAACATTTTTTTTTTTTTTTTTTTTAATCCTTAAATATATTCACCTTAAGCCATCAAGAATATTAGCTGATGCAATGTTTTTACAAATAATACTGCACCATTCTTCCTGGGATTCGATTCTAAGCTAGTAATATTTAAACTTATATTCACCTTAATTAATATATTATTAATATATTCACCTTAAGCCATCAAGAATATTAGCTGATGCAATGTTTTTACAAATAATACTGCACCATTCTTCCTGGGATTCGATTCTAAGCTAGTAATATTTAAACTGCCAATTTTGATACTAGTGCCATTGTCTTTTTTCTTTGGGGGTGGGGGGCTATGGTGGTAAAGAAAGGCAGATTAAGCCACTACCAGCAGGTTATCAATCAACAACCAAGCATTCTTTCTCAAGCAAACCACAAATCCCTTATAAACAAACCATTAAGTGCTATATGTGATGTGTAAGAAAATTCAAGGGAGGAGGAATAAGGTTATTTACACTGATAGGAAAAACCTGTGGTTCAGAGTTGTTTGGGGAAGTGGAATATGTGTCTTAGAACTGAAGAAACATGTTATATAATTTTAAGAATAAATTATGAAGCATTTCTCTCAAAAACCATGAATATTAAAAACAAATAATAAATTTTTTCTTGTTTTAATCATCCCGAATGTATGATGCTTATGAATGCATTACTAGCAAAAGTTGATAATTTTTAGACTAGGCATTTGAGAAATATCTAATGTTTAATACTGCAGAGAGAATTTTAAGAATCACTTATGCAGCATTTCTCTCAGAAACCATGCATATTAAACACATTTTTATTGGTTTTAATCATCACGAATTTATTCTGATGCTTATAAATACAATACAAACAAAAGGTGATGATTTGTAGACTATTTCATTTGAGAAACATGTAATATTTAATATATTTTATTTTGTGCAGGGTAATTCAAAATCAGTTTACCTACAAATTTCTAAATAACCTTTTAATGAATGATGCACTACATAATTAAAAATGAAAACATAGTTAAATTAGCTTTCAACAATCCAATGGAACTACATACACAGCCCTCATTTCATTAGACAGTGATTTTCGGCTTCAATATCTTTGAAATCGAATTTTATTCTCATTACTAAAATGTCACCAAATGCCATATTTTATTATCTAAGATTCCCTATTTAATATTGGTCATTATTTTCATTTTATGTACTCGTTTTGTATAGGTATTTAAAAAGACAGATGCAAACTAGCCTAACATAATTCAGCAACTCAGCTGAAATATTCAATAAAAAAATTACTACCATCCCAGAGAACATTATGCAATATGTCTGCACCAGTATGTGCTAATGCATTCAATTATGAATGGCTCATGTTTTAAGTATTCATTGCAATTTCCACACCAGGAGCATCACCTGAATTATAATCACTTTAAATTGCATGCATGTAGTTCCATATGTTAAAATGTAAAGCAAGTTTCAGATCACCAGAAAATTACACAAGGACTTCACTGGTCACTAATATGTGAGCATTCAGCTTGCTAAAAAGTATTATCTTTACATTAAAAACATATTAAACTTAACTTACTGAAATCAATTTTGAACAATATACCAAATGTTCTGTCAAAACCACATCAATTTGTTCATTGCCTGATGAAACATTAAAAGATGTTAAATCCAAATTGCTTCTACAGTTTTCTTTATTGAAAGGCAGTATGTGGATATCTGATGCACTATTTTGATCACATGGCTTTATATTGTTGTCCTCTGAAATTCTATTGAAATAGAACAGAAACAGTTTACAAATTGACTAATCATAATACTTAATGTTCATTAAAATACATTCACTGCAAAAATGTAAAAGCTCTTGACATTTGTAATATTTTCCATTTCTTTTTTAATATTCAGCATTTTAATTTAATCAATTATACAGCCGATACCTTAACAATAACCATTTCATAATAAATAACGATCATTTCTTTTAAATCAGTGATATACAGTATTTTATATATAAAGTGCAACATAAAATTTCATTGTCTAATTGAGAGGCAAAAACATTTTTAATTTGTTTTGAGTTTTTATGTATTTTCAGTGGTTATTAGAACATAATATATCAAAAACATGACTGGATACAGTATATTATACAGTCAAATATTACAAAAATATTACAGTTAAACAAAAGTATCTTAAAAAATTTAATAATATTAGATGGTAACACACCTTCATCCCACTTTTATTTGTGATGGCCACTGCTTTTCTAAATTGTTAGATCCTTCATGGAAGCAGATATACACCTCTACTTTTAAACTTGCATCTCAATCATCATTTTGATGAAATTTAACTTTGACTAGTGAGCCTAACTGTTTACTATGACATTTTAAACATGAAAGAAAATGAGCATTACTAAATAAATTTTGTTGAGATATTTCTTGTCTTTATTTGTGTTGCAATGGATGGCCAGCAGTGCAGTTTTGAGACTCAGAAGAAAACCATAATCAGGTGAAACAGAAAATTTCAGTAGACCATATTTCTGCTTGTAATTCATAACTTAAAGAGAATTTGCTCCAAATTGTCACTCTTGATGAAAAGTAGATTCAGTATAGCAAGTTACTGGAAGAAAAAAAAAATTGGTTTATCTTAGCAGCTGACCAATAATGGAAAACTTGCACCTGAAAATAATCATGCTATTTAAAATAAGCATGTTTCTCATGACATCTTTCCAAAAACCATAGTAACTAGTTTCACTGGTCACAAATGACCAAAGTAAGGGAAGCAACTGAAGAAAACAGATTTGGCAAACTGATATTGCACTGAATTCAACACATAAATGCAAATTAAAATGCTTCTACTGAGAATTATCAAAAATTTTTCTTGACCACAAATCAAAGACCACTTGGATCGGTTTTCCTCCAATTAGTCCCTGTAATTCAATAAAAGAGGAGTTTTTCAACAACCAGAAAGATGGGAATATGCCACTGATCAAAATGTCACATCTATAACTGAAAAAATTATTTCTGAATTTATAAATAAATAATTTCAAAATGTTAAAAGAGGGATGACTATGTGTTACAACTCAGTAAAAGGATCTTCCTTTTTTATTGAAAAACTGATAGCAAAAACGTTTCCAAATAAAACATGAAAATAAATCACATACAATGCGATCAAATACATGCTGTTATTTAGTTTCCTCGATAAACTAAAAATGAACTCATTTCCCTAAGGAACTTACACTTAACCGAGTTTTGCATAATTTAATATATATCACGTCTAAGATTTCAATTTGGCAGTATCATAGGCACCCAAAATAAATAAATATGCAAAAATAAAAAATATTAATAAATTAATTCTTTAACCCATTATTTAAGGAGGACACTGCACACTAGCTAAAGCATGCATATTCATAATTTCTTAAGTGCTAGATAATGGTTGACCATCAAAATTGCCATACTATGAAGGCACCATGGAGGATAACAGCAGCCCTAGGCCGCTAACACCCGACAAGTTAGACATGTTGTCCCCCCCCTTGGTTTTGCAGGATCGTACAGCCATGCCATGTACCCTGAATCAGCAACTCGGCTCATGTACAAGACAGCAAATGTTCAATGGGCAGTATGACTACAACTGCACAAACTGTCAGCACACTGACCACTGTTACAGCTTCCCTTGACTCTGCAGTGACTGACATGCCTACAATGGTGCTACAAATGATGGCAGTACACAGAAGAGGTACCACCTTTTCAGAAAAATGCTGGTTCTGCTTACAGCATTGTGCTATATGTATCCAAGTGTACAGGTGCAGAGAACTAACGTTGCTAGCCATTTGTCATCCTCATACATGCACAGGACCTGGGATGCTGGTATGGGACACCACTGTGTACACATCCTGATTAACTCTTGTTCACGTACTCAATAAATGTGGACAGCTGCTGCTACATTTTTTACATACTGCCTGTGACTGTTCCCTAATTTTGAGGCCTGCATGACGGCACCTTTCAATGCATGTTCGATCGGAAATATCATTAGACAATACAGTGAAACCTTGGTTCACAAATTTAATTCATTACTTAAGATCATTTGTCCTTTAAAATGTTTGTCAACCGAAACTATTTTCTCCGTAAGAAATAATTTAGAGCACATTAATCTGTTCTATGACCACAGATGACTGTTAATTTAGGTTTTATTACAGTATCTTATATACATAGTTATAACAAAATCAAAGGAAATCATTGAATCTAAGACAAAAAATATTATTAATAATATTAAACATACAAAATAGGCACAGATTTCATTTCATTTCATTTTACTGAGCAAATATGAAAGTCAATAGATGGCATAAGTGGAAAGTGATGAGAAACGGAAAAGGAAGAGATGTTATTGGTTGGATAAGAATGAAAACAACATGTAACTGTCTTTTTGGGGGTATCTTTTATCTTTTCCATGCCTCTTAAATGGCCATGACTTTTATCTTTTCCCTGCTCTTTCATGCTTTTTCCATGCCATCTGACTAAGTTTGAGACTCATTGTGCCACCATTTCACTCAAAACTGGTCCAATGCAATTTTTAATCTAGATTTTGAAATATTTCTAAAGTGAGACATGGCATTATTATTGAAAAAGCTCATATTTTAGATTATCACTACTTTATTAGGGTGATATCATAGCATAAAACCTTTCCCCTTACCCCAGTTTTGTACACCTTTTTAATTGGTGTTGCAATTTCAATGTTGTACAGTATGTAAACATTTAAAGACAACAAGAATCAAATCACTCACCTGTCATTTGCATTTTCAAATTCTTCACTTTCAATTGCAGTGTTTAAGAAATCAAAACAACCAAGAGCACTTTCAATGGAAATACTAATACTTGAACCAGATGTACTGTCATTTTCCCCCTATTCAAGAATAAATAAAATAATGTTCTAACAGCTTCACACAAAATTATTTTTTTAACAACAAAAATACGCATGCTATTATTTTGAAATAAGAAATTATCTTATAATGTTAAATAATAAACAATTTAATCAAAATTAGAAAATTACACCAATAAACTTACTAAGTTAGTTTCATACTTCTGGCTACTGGCTGCTATGCATATTGTAACTTAAGAATTTCCAAAGATGGTCACATTAAAACAGTACAGCAATAACCCACTGATGAAAAAATTTACAGCAGAAATTTGTTCATTTTATTCATTTCTGTGTTTGAAAGGTCTGTAACAACTATTAAAATTAATAAATAATTAAAATAATATTGTTGTGGATTTCTGTACACTTGTGTACATTATTTCTTCACACTTCAGTGAATAGTGCCCTTCCCAAGGTCTACGAGCATATAGACCAATCTGCCCTAAGTGTCTGTACACGGTCTGCCTTGAAATTGTCGTACTAGTGGCTGAAGAGAGCTGACGAGACAGGTCTGACGCTGTGCTCCGCCTGTTTCTTTTGGCAGTAACTGCCAAATACCGGTCCTCATTCGGCGTTGTAACTCTGGGGCGACCTGTGATGTAACGTCTACTCACGTTACCATCATCTTAGAATCACTGCCAAAGCCTGAAGATGACACTCTAGGCAATTTCAAGTTTGTCTGATACTTCCAGTTGGGTACGCCCACATTCCAGACGGCTGATAATTCTACCACGTAAAAAATCATCCAAATGCGTCCTTTGTGTCATAACTATTTGGTTATTGCACTGAAATACTTATAAAGTGCCTGCGAACAAATTTTACTTTTTTGCCTATATTCCTTATATATATCACTCTCTTACACTCTTGTCATTGTGAGGTACCATCGGTGTCATCTGGTTACTTCCTGAAATTTGCATATGATTCTCGAAGATGTGTGTAGTGATTTTACATATATTTATTTTAGAGTTCGATTTCCGTGTGACTCCAAATTATCCTTAATTTATGGACATGAGTGTATTTTTAGAACAGAGAGACGAAATACCTAAATTGAAAATGAAGAATTAAGTGACTATTACTAAAGCAAATTATACAGCTGATTTACATATTTTTTATCTTTCATATATAACCTTTTTTTGCAAAGTGTCCGTTAACTTTAGAAATTATGATAAAAAAATAGACAACCATACATTCAAAAAACATCAAAAGAAATTAATGATTGATTATTTAAAAATGGCAAAGCATGCAAGGAATATCCGCCTCAGAACGGATAAGAATTTTTTAATGGAAACTAGTTCACATTTATGTTACATATTGGAAAACTCATGAAAAATCCAAACATTCAGCCTGTCTGCCAAGAATTAAGCAAGGGATTAACTACCAGAGTTCAGTGATCTTATCCACTCATCCGCATGTGGACAGAGATTAATGGTTACAATTAAATTTACATACTTCCAATTGACTACACAGTAATATAACTGAGAAAATTCATAAAGGAAAAGCATATTAAATGAATCCATGGAATAATTAATCATTAATATGAACCAAATCGATGATTTTTACAACTTTCTACCTTCCCCCTCCAAGATTTACAAACAAAGAAAACTGAAGTACACACTATTGTAATACACAAAACAAGTCCATAAAGTATTATATGCTGCATATATATTACAAAATAAGCATTCTATACTTATTTTTAAAAACCCCAAAACAGAGGCTGCACACATACTCATACAGAGGGTGGTTACATATTTTTGTAATGATCTTGCTTTTCTCCATGAATTTAAATATTAATTTTAAAATACAAAAATGACTGGCATCAAATTGCAATAACGTCTAATTATCGTCTGCAGCATTAAAAATATTCTTTTCTTTAAAATGTTGCTAAAAAATAAACAATGGATTGAAGGCTATATTTTTGTGCTGTCCGAACTCTTATTCAAAAAAAAAAAAAAAAAAAAAAGAGATGTCAAAAGCATGGTTTTAATATTTCTACCCATATGATAAGCGAAATAATTAATATGAAAGGAAAGAAACATCAAAGTTGACATCTGACTGGGAAAAAGATAAAAAATGCATACCAAACAGAAGTAGGTATAGCTCTTATTAAATCATATCACATCTCATGTTTTAAAGGAAAATCCAGCAGCCGTAACAGCTATTGCAAAATCTTTAAATATATCTGTAGGAACTGTGAACAAAATTATAAAATCTTATTTAAAGTTAATCAAAAAAAAAAAACATGATGTTCATTGCCTAATGCCAATACATGTTTCTCAGCACAAGACTATGTGCAGATTGCTGTATGAAAATTATTTCGATAGTGAAAAATGGAAATATATAGATACAATTGAAAAGGCTTGTATATACTTAGCTGATTGCAATAGAAAAAAGATCAATTTACTATTGAAAAAGAGGAGAAAAAGACTCAATATGTTGGTTCAGAGAAAACAAGGAAAGTTTTTCTAACGGTTTTAAAGTTATTACTGGATTCTCTTACAATGGAAAAATTAAAATAAGGAAAGTAGGAAAAAAAGTCACAATTAATTTGAATTATTATCAGAAATATGTTTTAACACCTATTTTTAAAGAAGAAATTCTGTCTCTTTATATAAACAATCTTCACTGTGTTAAGTTTCGTCAGGATAAGGTTTCAAGGACATGCCTCTAAATCTACTGCTCTATTTTTTGAAAAACCAGAAATGAAACTGAAATTGATGCTACTCCCTTTAACTGCATCCCACCCAAATCTCCTGATGTGTCACCTATGGATTACTGTGCATCTGGACTTTTAAAACCAGCTCATTATATGCGGCATCCTAAAAAATTGGATGAACTCTGGAAGATTGCGAAGAAAGAGCAGAATAAAATCAACCATGATGTTTCAAGAAAAGGACTTTTATCTTGGAAATCAAAGTGTAATATGATAGTTCGACAAAAGGCTATCGGATTAACATATTAGAAGATAAAATCCTAAGATTTCTTTATATATACATATTTGAAAAATCATTACAAAAATGTGTAAATACCCTCTGCACACATAGCTTATTAAATACAAGCATCTAAACACAATACAGAAATTGAGTATTATAATGACAGAACACAGGCACACTGTGCGTCACATACACTGGTGTGCAAAAATTAAGGACGAAGTCGAAAAATTAGCATATCAGCTGAACGAAGAGGCAGAGCGGACAGAAAGACCAATCAGGAGATTAAGTAAGGTGATGTACGGTAGTACATGCGCAGATATGCAGGTAGACGTAATGGGGGAGTGTCTGAGTAGTATAAAGCATGTTGTCGGTGTAAGATCAGTATTTCTGGCAAAGAGATTGCACGCCGTATAGCAGTTAAAATCACACCGAGTTGCTGCCTCAGCGAGAAATGGCGAATAATCAATCTGTTAGACGACATCTGGATGCTTTTACCCGAGGTCGAATCATTGGGAAGTTGGAGGAAGGCCGCAGTGTGACAAGTGTGGCTGCAGAGTTCGGAATTGCTCACAGCATCGTTTCACGACTTTGGAGACAATTTCAAACTACAGGAACAGCTATCCGGGGGTTTAGTAGTGGTCGTCCACGAGGAACCACACCCGCAGATGACCAGTATATTGCCTTACAGGCCAGAAGAAACAGGCGGCAGACAGCGGGAGAAATCGCTAGACACACGACACAGGCGACTGGACGACCGATATCGCGTTTTACCGTGGCCAGAAGACTGCACGGTGGTGGTCTGTTTGCACGACGCCCTGTACGGTGTGTACCTCTAACGCCTGCCCATCGGAGAAGGCGTTCTCTGTGGTGCCGGGAACACCGGAATTGGAGAGACAATGAATGGGGACGAGTACTCTTTACAGATGAGAGCAGATTCAGTCTGAGTAGCGATTCTCATCGCATACTCATCTGGAGAGAGCGGGGAAGCCGCAATCATCCCTCGAACATCATTGAAAGGGACAGGTATGGAGGTGGCGGTGTTCTCGTTTGGGGAGGCATCATGCTTGGTAGTCGTACAGACCTTCACATCTTCGACGCAGGTTCAGTCAACGGGACCCGTTATTGTAACGAGATTCTTCTTCCATATGTGCGTCTTTTTAGAGGCGCTATGGGTCCGCAGTTCCTTTTCATGGACGATAATGCACCATGTCATCGCACAGTAGCTGCCGAACAGCTCTTAGAGAGTGAGGATATTGAACGTATGGATTGGCCGGCACGATCTCCGGATCTCAATCCCATCGAGCATGTATGGGATTTTCTAGGCAGACGCTTGGCAGCTCGTACCTTACCACCAGTAATGATTCCGGAGCTTCGATTGGCGCTGCAAGACGAATGGGCAGCAATGCCTCAACAACTCATTGACACCCTCATTCTCAGCATGGGCAGACGCTGTGAAACCTGCCTAGCAGTCAGGGGAGATCATATCCCCTATTAAAGACCGGATGTTTCTTGCTGGACACCCATCACAGGGATGTTTCGGCCTTCAGTTGCATTGCGCTCCATGCTACTTTTTTAATAAAGCTTCTCTTTATCCCTCTGATTTCTCTTTTTAGTAAGTGTTGCTTACGTTATGTTCTTACGTTATGGGGATCTTACGGTATTAAATGTGTTGATTTGGAAAGCTTTTGTACAAAGTTATATTGAAAATACCGTCTCGTCCTTAATTTTTGCACACCAGTGTAATACACAGAAGTGACAGAACACATAACACAAACAGGTTTATTAAAAGAACTATACAACAATTATTTCAAGTTACATATGCATTAGGATTGATGCAGGCTGATGAATTTTACTAATACTGCAAAAATTAATGCTCAATTTGTGTGTGTTCCATGGAAAGAACTGATGGTTTGGGTTTAGTTGATTATACAAAAAGCCACTAGGGCTACCTCCCTAGCCTTCATGGAGGAACCTTCTAAGGCAAACTGGCTCGAATACAAGTTTTTCCACATGTTCTCATAGTTTTCCATGTGTTTCATGGTTTTCCACATTACACAAGCTATGCTAATGGCCAGGCAGCCAGCTTGTTTGCCTGGAATCAAACCCAGGTTGAAACTACTAGTGTTCAGTGATTTTACAGCTTAGCTGCTGGTGGGCCCTGCAAAGAACTGATGATGTAAGAGGAAAGATATATAATAAGAACGTTATACAACACAAAATACAGATACTATTAAATCTATATTAATAAGTGTTTGATTTGATGCACTCAATTCCACTGTTACTATCTAACTCATAGAAACAAAACTGCTGTCTAGTTTCCACTGTGTTATCAATAACTTCAGCAAAATAGGTTAAAAAATGAATGAAATCATTTGCACTGACACATTTCCATACTACACTCATGTGACTTAATGTTAATTCATGCCATGCTGCACTTAAAATTTTCAATAAAATTTTCAACTTTAATAAATGTAACTTTTCTAAAATTCAATTAAAGCAGGTGTGTTTTTCTCTTGAACAGCTGTTAGAGCTCAAGAACAAAAATATCACATGCAGGCACATATTATACAACACAGAACTCCAGAAAAAAAAATATGTACTACATTGATTAAATATAGACCGCACAAAAAGTGACCTGACTGTATAAAGGGGGAGGCTATCATTTATGTACTAGAAGTAACTTTGTCTGATTTTTTTAATTTATTTTTATTTCACTCAAATTTCAGTTCTGAAATTTTCAAACTGGACCATGTTGAATACAGGTTAATCAAAGCCAGATTATGAGGGGTATTGCCTAGTGTATATGAAGGTTTTAATGTGTAATGCAAAAGTTCATGTCTATACTGTTAGGCTTAGTTTTTCACAAGAATGATGATCAGAAACAAAGAACTGGAAGAAAGGTAAAAAATTATCTTGCCATTCAAAATAAGAATTCCATATTTAAAGAATTTAAAAGCCCTTATTTTCACAAATAATTAGCTTACCTTTAAAAATCTGTTAATGCTTTTTAACACTTGGGAAAATTCATTCACTTCAGGATAAGATTCTAAATTATCATCCAGTATTAAAGATATGCTTTTAAGTATGTCTTTTAAATTAGAGCCAGAAGCATGAGAGTCCGAAGATGAAACACTGTGACTCTCTGAGTTTTCTTCACTTGGACAAGGAATGAAATCACAGTTACTACAAGGGCAATATTTAAAGGTGGCTTCCACATCAGGACTTGTAAATGCTGAACTTTGGGCAGAAGCACTTGTACTTTCGCTACTACAACTTTGTCCAATATCACAGAAATTAGCATTATGCTGTGTGCCCTTTGGGAGAAAAGATATATAAATAATTTACTCAAAGCATACATTTAAAAATGATAACTTCATCTAAACAGATATTTGAATTAAAGAGATTGACGACTGCCTAATACAATAGAAAGTCCGAGATCCGGACTCATCTGGACTTTGGCAATTCCGGATTTCGGATTTTTCCGGATATTAGACCATAAGTTTAAATCTAGTAAGCTGGTACGTAGAAATTAGAAATATGAAATCTTGACTTATGAAATAATGAAGCATTTATGATCTAAATGGTGTCAAAATTTACAAAAAAAAAGATCAATATTTATTTCTTTGAATATAAGTTGCTTTAAGTTTTGTGCTAATACTTTCTCGCTAATTCTATAGACAGACTTAATTTCTTATTCAGTTACAAAGTTTCATTTCGTTCAAGTCCTGTAATTACTGCGTCCAGAATTCCGACTAAATTATCAATCAAAATTGTTTTGTTTTCAAAAAACTCTCTGTAGCTTATTGTTTCTCTCTATATACAGCTTATCTGTAGCTTATGATCATTTTCAATAACCTGTCTGTAGCTCTGTAACACTATCAGTATCTAATATTACAGTTATAATGACTCCTCAATGAGCTAAACCATACTACAGATTTCGTCATCCATTCAGTGATTGATGATTGGGAGCATTGTTATAGCAAAGAAAAACTTCTGTTGTATCATCTTCATTTATTAAATCCAATATTTAGAAAATTTCACCTTTCATTTGTGATATCCGAAAACCTTCGAATTTCACGGTTATCATCTTCATCAGCCTCACCTTGAAATATGGTTGCTGGACAAAATTTATGCCATGAATTTTCTAAAGTATCTGAAGACACATCTCCGACGATCTCGTGATGATCCACACAGCAGATTTTATGCAAAAATATTTCAAATATTCTTGAATAGTCTTGCCATTATTCAAGAAATTTAACATGAATTTTAAAAATGCTACTTCATATTTGCATTTCAGCTCATGCTCTATTCCATTATCTATAGGAACATACAATTTGGAAGAAAGAATTATGCAAATACATTATTTTTCACTAAAACAAAATGAAGTATGAACTGTACAGTTGTCTACAATCAGAATAATTTTTGCGTGATCAGGTAAACCAACTGAATACAAATGTTGCCGAGCCTTGGGCATGAAATGATTTTCAAAACATTCATTGAGTTTATGTGAATAAAAATCAGTTATTCTTAATTTAAATATCACTAAATGTAATCTTTTGGCCTATGAGTAAGCATCATTAACAAAATCTATTTTTAGCATATGGAAAGAAATTTTTTTAAATGTTTCCTCATCAACATTTCTTAGGCAATTAACTTAAATCTGTAATCACTGCCAAGCGTAATGTCAACAGAGAAGTTTACCATACTCTTTGTTATTCAATTACTAATATTAAAAAATATATATTTTTTAGGCATCACTGCATGAGTCATTATACAGGTTGTCATGTGCTGATAAACATGCAGTGATAAAAGCCAAATATAATAAATAATGATTCGTCAGGGACATAAAATTTTAGTTGGTGTTTAAAATCAACAATGTTTCTATGTAGAATGTTTCAGTTTGAGATGCATGACAAGCAGATATGCAAGTACTGAGTCAAATTATTGATAGCACAAATTTATGCTAAAATGATTGTTTCTTCAATAGTGAGGTATTTTAATTAGTGGCAAAGTTAAATTAAGAATCGGGACTCTCCCCATGTTTTATCATGGGAAAAAAAATCACATGCACATGCATAGAGCATAGAAAAAAAAATCCTTAAAAAAAGTTTGACGTTAGCTTTAAGATCCAGATTTTAGATCAATCAGGATATTGGATGTCCAGATCTCGGACTTCATACTGCATTATGATGATCACAAGTTCTTCTATGAATTACATGAAAAAACATATAGATTCACTTAAAAGATAAGTACTATATCACATACGAAAGGGAGTTAAAATATCCTCAACTGCACTTTTAAGTTGTATGGCAGATACTTTTATCAGATCTTGAAGAATGAAATACAGTGAAAGACTAAAAATCTGCACAGCTTGGCAGCTGATGTGCAGATTTCCGATCACAAATAAAACATAATCAAACTGCAAAAAGCACAAATAGATAAAAAAAAAAAAAAAATTCAAAAAAGCATATAAAATAATTCAACTTCATTTTGATTACCTTATATAGAAATAAATACTGTGCATACTCACCTATTCCCCCTTTTACTAATTTTGTCACGTGAAAATGGAGAGGGAAAAATTCTGCGAATAATTTAATTTTTGAAAGATGTGATTACAGTAAGAACAAAACAAATGGGAAGTGTTTATGGATAAACTATCGGTAATTATTGCAATATTATTTATTTAAAAGAAGCTTTATTCCAATAAGAATACACAGTAATACAAGCATTATAATATCTAATATGATATCATTTCTACTTCCCCTGTATCTTATATCTTGAATCTCACCCACACTTATCGTTGTCTACTGCTGTTCCCAAGGCCTCAAATCATTCAGTGCTGCTGGAACTATTGTATATGCAATCTACTACAGCTTGCAAATCATTGCTCTTGATCACTGTTAAATTTGTCTTCATTTGTGCAATAACTTTTAGAACCATCAAGAACATAAGATATCCCTATTTGATTGAACCTCTTCCATATAACTGCTGTATTAACCAGAGCCCATGCACCCCAAATGCAGATGCAAATTACTTTGTACAGTCACTGGGTTATTTTGAAGTAGGAGACATGAAAAATGAGCAATAGCCTTGCTGGAACTCGAACCTGGACCTCTAGAATACGCTTCAAGCATGCTACCATTACACAAAGAAGGCATGCTGAAAGGAAGGAGAAAATAGCTAATATACTTAGCCTTTTTTTAAAGGGCAACTGGGGATTAGAGAACCCAATCACCAAATTCGGGTGGTAATGAATTATTGTCCACCACCTTTTATTTCAGGCACTACTGTACGGTCATTAGGCTATTTTGAAGTACGAGACAGGAAAAAAGAGCAATGCCCTCGCCAGGACTTAAACCTGGGAGCTCTCAAATACTGTTACGTGTGCAACCATTACACCACAAAAGCATGTTGAAAGGAGAAAATATCTTATGAATTAGTATAACAAAAACTGGATTGGACATGGACAAAACCATTTTAAAATTTATGAGAGCTCACTTTGTAAACGTCTTGAGGAAGAAAAATTTGTGAATATTTTTAAAAAATTCAGATGCTTTGCGCTAAAAAGCTAAGAACGAATATGAGAAACTGCTATTCTGTCATAGGACAAAATTGCTAGCTTAGTACTAGTCATTACAAAAGAGAAGAAATTCAGTATCATTAGCAGGCCAGCAGTCAGTGCCCAAAAATAAATGTTGCTGCAAAATGTAGCCTGAAACAATGATGGTAATTTTAATGACACACTGAATACTAATATAATAGTTCTAAAATATAATTATATGTATTTGAGGGAAATATTGCTAAGCTTTGTGAAGTGAATAACTCAACTTAAAAACTTTTTGGCTTGGAATCCTTACTTTTCTTGGCATGACTGCCGGCTTCAGTGCCATTTTGGAGTTGTATTAGCACTTTAAATTGTAACTTGATTTTATGGTTATTTGAATGAAATCTTTTACTATAGATAATTCTTTTTTTCTCAAAGAATTTGATGGCAGAGTCTTCATCATTTGGCAGCTGTTAAATAAAAAAAAAAAAAACTGCAAAAGATATATACATTTCTTTGTTAACATCTGAAAAGCGTGTGAATTTCAGAAGTTGGCAGGTTTTAATTCAAAGGATTTTGAAATCTTCCACTATACTAGAAATGACTGCCAGCAGATTTATAATTGGAAAACTAATCATACCTTCCAACCAAGCTGGAGGTCCTTACCTATAAACCATAAAGTTATATAGAAGAAAAATTCTTTCTTGTGTTCTCCGTGTAATTAAAAAGCACTTGGGAGAAGGAGATAAGACCCAGTTGAATTACAGTCCACTACATTTTTGTTTAGGTGACTCTGCACCCTCTTGGACTTAAACTTGGGACCTTCCTTGGTTACCAGATGAGCATGTTTTCCACTGCACTGTAAGAATATATAAGAGAATATAGCTGTAATTCCTTACATACCCTGCTTCTGAGTTTGCTTCTGCTGACAAAATTTTGCATTAATCCTCCAAATTTATCTTCCTGAACTAATTTTAGACATATTTAACCATTTCAGGTTTCACTGGAGTTTGCTTACATGCTATCATATTATTCAACCATATCTTTATTTTTACCTTCAAATTCTTCATCAACTTTAATGTCATTTCCAGGATATTTTACTACGTAAACCAACTGACAATAACTTTCTCTGCTAAAGAACGATGGCATTTTGCATTGCGAAAAAAGCATAAGATTTTATAAATTTAATCATTCCATTTACAAAGCACAGATTCTTCACTGAGAAAAAGGAAATAAGGGCTTGTAAATTTAATCATTTTAAGAAATCACAGACTGTCCAGTGCACATTCAAACAGAAAAACGCATACAGTGACATTTATGAGCTTCACCAATCTGAAATCAATTCCTGAGATTATGCCAAAAGATCACCCTATTTATTGCATACATACATTTACAATGTATCTCCCCCCCAAAAAAATTCACCTTAAAATAGGCACTTTTAACTTTCAAGAAAACAATAGTTTTTGTCAACATGCAACACACCCCAATGTCCTTTTTTCAAAAGAGAAAGAAATTTTCAAACCTCTTTTTCTGATAATGAAAGCTCGCTGAGATTTTCTACTTCATGTATTGATGACTGGCTAATATTATGACGATCACAAGAATAAGGCATCCCGGCTGAAGGAGGTACAGGTACACATATTTTTTCTGCTGATGCAGAAATAGAACTGAAAATAAAATTTATTAATTTTTAGTAATTTTAAAAAATATGACAGCTTCTGATATTTGTTTGAATGAAAACACAAACAAAAATACTTTCTTACTTCCATGTTATTACAAGGTTTAGCTTCAATGATCCAGACTGATTTAGATTAATAGTCATTTGCTGAGGATGAGGACTAAATAAATCTCGGGTTTCACAGAATTTATTTCCTAACAAAATGTTTTTCCCCAATCCTCTCACTTCAACAGCCTAGATTTCAAGGGAGGGAAAAGTTTACAAAACAAATCTAAATGACTTCAAAATGGTAACAAAAGAGAAACTCAAACACATTTTTGTTACCGTACCACAGCAAAAATAAAATATAGTATAAACAGCATAAAGGTTTACATAATGCCAATAAAATAAAAATTACCAAAGTGTTAGAATAAAGGCACTGCAAAACACAAGAAAAGTAAATGTAGAAATATAATTAATCTGGGAATAACAGGTGCAGTACTGATGAAATTCTTCTTCCAATGAAAAGAAAATCCTTCTTATAATTTTTATGATAGTTATAACTTAGTATTCACTTCTAACACAATCTAAATCTAAATTGCTAAAAAATCAACATATGTTTTTGGAGTTATGTGAAAAGCCATTTTTGATCACCCATAGGATTACGATTTTTTTTCTTTTTCCAGTTTTACATTAAGATGAAAAAAACCACGCTTACTAAAAGGGCTGAGCCACTGGTTTCTAAAATTTGCTTCCTCAATTATAGCCTATTGACTCAACATTTGAGTCATACAACAGAATTAAAAATTTTGATACAAAACAGGGGACATAAGGAATTCTTATTTATACATAAATGATAAACTTTGCTAAAGCAAAAAAAAAAAAAAAAAAAAAAAAAAAAACCTTTAGTTACAACAAAAAGTATAAAAAAAAACTAATGAAAAAAGAACAATGGTTTGTTTTTTCAAGATTTAATATTCCAAAACAGTTTCTGAGACAAATTCAAAACAAAAATTTACAGAATTTTTAAAATGGCAAATCTATAAAAATGGAAAGTTTTTCAAGTCAGAATTATCAGTTCACATGGACAATTTTGGTCAATCAATTGTGAGAAATATGCTCTGTGTTACTTCTTACTGTTCTGCGAGGTTCAATCTGCATATGTGTCCTCTTTAGCAGTTGAACTTACATCCTTCAAAGTAAGTTCAGACTCCATCAAAACATTATTTTTTTATATTTTACGCAAATTCTTTTAGTCCTAGATTGCCCTGGAAACTTGTCATGCATTACAATAAAGTAAAAAAACATAATTACAAAACCTATAATGAAAAACACACATTTACAAATCAACAAAAAATCTAGTTTTAAATTATAATTAAACACATCAGTAATCTTATGATTAATACATATACATCTTATGATTAATACATATTCTCCCATCAATGAAATTCTGAGTTCCATACTCAAGGACCCCATTCCGGATATGAATTCTTGGGGTATTTATAGGATTCCTTGCCAGTGTGGTTTGATTTACATTGGGCAAATTAGGAGAGCCTTAAAATTTCGTGTCAAGGAACATGAGGCACATGTTAGAAAAAAGGAAACACAGAAGTCTTCTGTTGCTCAAAATTGTTGGTCCGAAAATCCCACTTTCAATTTTTTTCTTTTTCTGCTGCCAAAATTATTCAAAAACATCTTCCATTGGAGAACTGGATTTTCTAGAGGCATTTCACATTCAAAAAAAATCTTTCTGTTCTAGTTAACGATCCTAATTCCAATCCATCTTTGCCTTCAGATTCTTTAAAGAAATTATGTTTTAGTTCTGGTTTCACCAACAGATGGCGCCACTTGCTTATTCTTGTCCAGGCTTTCTTATCTTATCTAATCATTATTTCCTATCTTGTTCATTTGCGGTTTTGCAGCTGAGGATGGTGGTTCGGTAAAACCATCGAAATAAGTCCTGTAAAAATTTTGAAAATATTACGCTGGTTTTTGTTGTTTGACTTCTGAATTAACATTTATTATGTTGTTTAAATTTCAGAATCAAGATAATTAAAAAATTGCTGAAATGAAAGACATTTTAAAACATCACTGACATAAAAGTACTTCTAAGCATTTTTCTTAAAAATGTAATTTTAATCTATTACTGTTATTTTAAAAATATTGTAGTAACATTATGATACATGCTAAAATATCATCATGAACTCAACAATTCACAAAAATGAAAATTTTGGGGGGGAAATATGTTTGAAAATCGTCAAAATGTTGAAAAGTCACTAAACTTGGCAATGCACAAAAGAATTCATATTGCTAAAATGGAAAAATGTTTTTGGTGCAATATAAACTGCAAGAGAAAAAAATTTAAACAAACTGACACAATTTATAGTGCCTTTGCACAAAAATTGTTCAATTCATAAAATATGAGTTTTGCAAAAACAACGACTTATGAAAGTTAGTAGAAATAAATTAATGCTGGTTATCTTGCTCGGACTTGCAGTTCAACAGAAAAATCAACTCAACAGTCAACCATCATTGACCTCCTTTTAAAGAAAAAAAAGTTTAATGGTTACTTCTTTCCCAAAGTAATATTCTAGACCAAGGGTTCCCAATCTGTCTTTGCTTGTGGATCCCAAGTCTCAACTTTAAGTATGCAGACTCCCTAATTCACATGTGTAATATTCCTAAATGTAATATTTATGTGTAGAATATTAACAGCAAATAGGTAAACAATTAAACAATTTTTAAATTTAGATGTCAAACAACAAAAATCAGCACTATATTTGCAAATTTTCACAGAACTAGTTTCAATGGTTTTACCGAACCATCATCCTCAGGTGCCAAACTGCAAATGAAGCAAATTCTTATATGAAATATTTATCTGCAGATTGTTAGAAGATAATAATCTAACTATAATAAATAACTGTTCTATAATAAATAACTATTCTAACATAATATGAAAAATATAGATTACAAAAATTGAAAATTTTAACTGATAAAACTGAAACATTTATACTTAAAACTTAAAAATAAATATACTATTTTAAACAAGACACAAATTCATTCCAAAGCCAGTTACATAAGATATCATTAAATAAATCGGGCTTTCTAAAAAGATCCTAATGGCTGACGTTTTGATATTTGCAAATTAATATGTAACTCAAGTTTTAAGAGAGTGAGACAGAGATCTGTCATTTTACTATATCAAGTTGATTGCAATTTTGTGTTAACAACCATGTTAGCCGACTAAGGCCATTTTCCACAAGATAAGATGATGGGAAAACAATAAAACACATTTTAGCTTTACATAAAAGTGGATATTTGCATGCAAAGTCACTATTCTTCCTTACATCCTTCCTTTCCTTTTTCAACAGACATCGGACTATCTCATAAGATAACAATTCAGTATTATTTTATTATTATTTTATTAATAATATTTTATCAAGAACCCCTTAGTTCATATTATTGAAACTGAAAATATATTTTTTTCTTACAGATGCCCTCGAGGCTTCTATGGGCCCATGAGGGGAGGGGTTCATGTGGGCCAAGGTTGGAAACCTTGCTCTAAATGGTCCTCATTGTTTCTAGTGGCACTAAAGCAAGGACACTTGTACTCTTAACATAAATATGTGGCTCTCCCTAGATTTAGATTGTTTTATTACTTGCATATTTCTTCAGAATATCCTACTCCTTTTCAAATGCCCTATTTATATCTTTTGCCCACAGTCCTGAAGAATTTTCAAATTCACACATAACATGCTCTGGAAATGTTACCTTTATGAAGTTCTACCTTTTATTTTCTTGAAAGATGTGTTTTCATTGCAGTAAGTGAAAGAATGGTTGTAAAGTACATCTGTATTAAAGAATACTTTTCCATTGCTGACAAACATTTTCCATTGCTTAATCGGTAACATCTGTTTTAAAAAGGTTGGAAGAACAATCAATTAGGCAGCTCAAAACTTTCATTTCGGGCTGGCTGACTGTTCATTATCTACAGAAGAAATCTGAAATGGTTCCATTCTAAACAAAGTGGACAGAATTCCATATTCATTCAAAATACTAATTCACACACAGAACTGCAGTCAAAGAAAAAAGATGCATGTCAGATTAAAGAAATTAGACAATTCACAAATTTTTGCTTCAATGAAAGACTTTATCAGACCAAAAATTGTTTCCAAACAACATACGGACTACTGGAGGTGCTAAAAAACAAGAATTGGTGCAATATTCATAAATTTGCAGGACTGGTTAGAAAGGTTTAAATACAGAACCTTCTCAGCTGCAGAAGTGCAAATTATGAAAAAGAAGCCTGTGCTAAGGCAATAACAATGACAGGAAGGAAGTTAAGCTGCTGGCATCATACATTCAGGAAATACTAAAACCTGAGGATAAAGACAGACTGTCATCTACTGATGAAAAATTATAACAACTATGAAGTAATTTCCTTAAAAACTGAGGATAAAGACAGACTGGAATTAGGATCAACTAAAACTGAAAGATCTTTATGAATGTGTACAAGTGTACAAGTGTGAAAGACTTCTAATGGAAGATTTTTTTCTAATAATTTTGTCTGCAGAAAAATGGAAAAGTGTGATTTTTTCACCAACAGTTTTGGGCAACACAGGATTTATGTGTTTCTTTTTTCCTAATGCATGATGCTCCTTCATGTGAAATTTTAACTTAGTCACTGTAAATTAAACCACACTAGCAAAGAATTCAAAATATACCCCAGGAGTTCATATCCAGAATTGGGTCTTTACGCATGGAACAGCGAATTTTATTAAGAAACAATAACTCAAAAGTTGAATTTCTATAAAATGCATGCAATTTTATAGCTAATTGATGGTAAGAAAGGAATGAACACAGAATTCTTACAATCTCCTAGAACCAGAGTGCTTTTTGATGTAATTCGCATTAATAAGCACTCTCTGGTTTTACCGTCACTGTCAGTTAATAAGAAAATTACCCAAACTCTAATAGCCTTGACTTATTAAAAACAAATAAATCTTATTCTATTAATTACTTGATACCAGTATAAAATTAGATGATTATTAAATAATTGTTTTTGAAAAATGTAAGTAAACTGATAGTAACATAAAACTGCTTTCAAAGGGAACATGAGTTATAGTGGTCTGCAAATTATTCTAATTTATAAAAGTGATCCCCCACTGAACAATATTTAAGAAAGGCTGGTCTAAATAATATTGATATTTCATATGAATGTACAAATTACAAGTAAATTACAGAGAAGATAACAT